GTTGAGAGGTGGTATGGATGAAAACTGTAGAGCAGGGTAAAAGGGATGAGTAGGGCTGAGCAGGGTGGGAGTTCACAGTATTAAATAGCATGGTCACGGTAGGCCTCAGAGCAAGTGAGATTTGAGCAAAAGTTTGCAGAAGGTGAGGGAGTTAGCTAAGTGCATGTGCCGGGAAAGGAAGAGGGCCAGCTAGAGCAAAGGCCCTGAGGTAGCGCATACCTGGTGTGATTCAGGAGTGGCCCGGAGGTCAGTGTGACTGAACAGAATGTTGTAGTAGATGAAGTCAGAGAGGTGGTGGGGCCAGATTGGGAAGGGGCTTATGGGCCCTGGTGAGGACTTTGGCTTTTACTCTGAGTGAGGCAGAAGCCGTGGGAAGGTTGTGAGCAGAGGAAAGACTGGATCTGACTTAGGATTTAACAGGTTCTCCCTGACTACTGAGTGCCAAGTGGAGTCTAGGGGGCTGGGGTGGAAGCAGGACACTAGCGAGGAGGAGGCTACTACAGTAGTCCCAGTGACTGATGACCATGCTGGCAAGGGAGGGTGGGAGTTCACAGTATTGAAGAGGATAGATTCTGGATCTGTTTTGAAGGTGGAGGTAACAGGTTGCCTGTCAGATTGGCTTTAAGGGTGTGAGGGAGGGTTAAGGAGCTTACCTTCATCTTGTGGTACACTGTGTGACCAGGAATGATGGTGGCCTATGCAGAGGCTGTATCATAGCCAGGACTCCGGGAGGGAGTAAGCCCTCAGGGATGGAGCAGAGGAGGGTCGAGACTGGTACTGGTCCTTACCTCCTCCTCCTCCCCCCGCACCGCAGCCCCGGAAAGCCAGCGCCACATGCAGTTCTGCCACAGCAGCAGCCTCCAGTGGCTTGGAAGAGTGGACCAGCCGGTCCCCGCGGCAGCGGAGTTCAGCCTCGTCACCTGAGCACCCTGAGCTGCATGCCGAGCTGGGCATCAAGCCCCCTTCCCCAAGCACTGTCTTAGCTCTTGCCAAACCTCCTTCGCCCTGTGCACCAGGTCAGTGACTTACTGACAGGGAGTATGCAGGGGTTAAGAGGTACTGGCTAGGTTCTGGGCCTTGCCTCTGACTGTCCATCTGCCCCAGGTACAAGCAGCCAGTTCTCGGCAGGGGCCGACCGAGCTACTTCCCCCCTCGTGTCCCTGTACCCTGCTCTGGAGTGCCGAGCCCTCATTCAGCAGATGTCCCCCTCCGCCTTTGGTAAGCCTCCTCTGTCCAGGGGCCGGGGGCCACCTGGGAGTTGGGGAGAGATGGAAGAAACAGCAAGTCCTGAGAGGGGGATTTTGAAGCCTCTGGCTAGCTCCCCAAGAAAAGGGAATTTTTCAGGCCCTAGGGATCTGTCCCTGAGGGGATCTGAGTGGGGTTTCACAGGCCCAGAGGAGCCTTCTCTTTAGAGAAAGGAGTGAGAGGGGCCTGGATGGGATGTCTCCAGGGTCGAAGATCAGCGACAGGTGAGGAGAAGGCAGGCTGAGTGCTTCGTCATCCTTTTTCCTTCCTCTTGCCCAGCAGGTCTGAACGACTGGGATGATGATGAGATCCTCGCGTCGGTGCTGGCCGTGTCCCAACAGGAATACCTAGACAGTATGAAGAAAAACAAAGTGCACAGAGATCCACCCCCAGACAAGAGCTGATGGAGACCCAGAGACTGGAGACCACCTCCCAACCCTCGCCACTCCTGCCCTCCGGTGCCACCCCACCTTCTGTGGCTTTCTTCCCTTTTGCCTACTTCCTTCTTCCCTCTCTCCCCTCCTTTCCCTCCTCCCCACTTCACTCTGGCTGGCCTACCCCTGCGCCTCCTCTCATCGCTGCCACCACCACCATCACCTGTCTCTTCGCCAGCTGACGTGCCCTCTTGCCCCTTGCACAGCACCATCCCTGCATTCCACAGGGGACTCAGGCAAGGGTGCCGAAGGTAGGCGAGAGGCACACAGAGACAAACCATCTGTCAGCCAGGCAGCCCTGAGGAGACACATTCAGACAGAGGAAAGTCTCCCTGCCCCCTGTTCCTTCCAAGATCAGATAAACTTGTTAGCCCACCTCTGCATTGATGCCAGGGAGGTGGGAGGAAGAAGTGGGAAATTCCCCTTCCCAGTACCCCAAGAATGTCTGAGCCTTCAATGTTGAATTTTTTCTTTATTAAAGTATACTTTTATCTTATAAAATCAACCAATCAAAAATGATGTAGACAACAGCATTGGCTCTATGAAGGCGGCATCTCTCTCGTTTGGGGGCAGGCAGGCCATGGGGCACAGAGGGGGCACAAAGATGTGGTTGCTGTCTCTGGCCTCCAGCTCTGTGGAGGTGGGCAGGGTCTAGAGTGTGAGCCGGGGCAGGGTCGGGGGGCAGGGGTGGCAGGTGTCACATGGGCTTTGGACAATGAGACTCTGACCTCGCTGCATTCCTTTTGCTTCCACCACCATCACCACCAGTCTGTTTGGAATCTCAGGGTGGGGGGCAACTTTGAGGATCATGGCCACCACCCAGGATTTGAGTGTGGGGAGTGGGAGCAGCCTCGGCAGATGGGACACCCGTGCCCTGCAGGTGTTGACAAGATCCGCCATCTGTAATGTCCTTGGCACAATAAAACCAAATGTCAGTTTCCCCTGAGAGCCTCTGTTCTGTGTGGGGCAGGAGGTGGGTGGGCCTCTGGGCAGAGGCGGCAGTGACATAGGCCTTGGCTTGACCTCTGAGGGCTATGTGCTCTCCAGTAGGATCTGTCTTGGGGCCCAGAGTTTGTTCATATTTGACTCACTGCTTACTAAACCACCTTCTGGTCCTGTTACCACCAAGAAAGCTCCGTCTTTGCCTGCTGTCCCTGCTTCAGTATTGGTACAGGATGTAGCCTGCCCACCTTATTTCCTGGGGTGTGATGGGAGCAGAGGACTGGGAGCTTAATGACAGGGACTGAACTTCCAGCTTCTCTGCCTGCCTCACCCCATAAATGTTCGCCTTTTCCTTGTGATTGCTTGATGATGAAATGCCTTGGAAAGGCACAACGGACGCTTCATAGCAACATGAGTTTAGTGGAAGTTACCAGTGGGGCCTCCCCCACTGGATTTTAGAAGCTGAGGAATGGCTAAACCCTTTTTTGTTGTTCATGTCCCTCAGTGCTCTGACACTTCTGTCCCTGCCCTTCCTAGGGGTAAAGCCAAGGCAGAGAAGGATGGCTGGCCCCCAAGTTTTGTCACATGTCTTTTTTTGCTGTGCTTCAATAATGGGGCCCCTGTGGAAGGATGCACATCCAGCTCTGCAGGTGAGGGCGTGGCTGGCTGAGTGGCTGTCTATGGGATGTCTCTGTGGAATCCTGCTCAAGCCTGTGTACGTTGGAGAACTGGTTTGAAACCTTCCTCGGCTTTTTCTAGCTATGTGGCCTTGGTCAAATCACAGGCTCTCTTGACTTTCAAGTATCCCATGTGTACGACAGGGGTGATTAATGTGTCCTACCTCACGCTCTCTGGTTGTGAGCATTGAGAGAACGCGTATGGTCAATATAATGTATAATGGCACAATGCCTGACACATTCTGAGAGCTCAAATCTTAGCAATTATTATTTATTATCCTAATGTTGAATTTTCTGTACCATTTGGCCCCTGTCTATCTCTTCTTGCTGCTTTGTCCAATTTCCTTGGCCTCTGCCTAGAATTTGTCCTTCCCCTGTCCCGAGCCCCCACCCTTGTCTTTCAAGACTACCTGGGTAGAGGGTCACCTTCTGAGAAGCCCTTTGTGACCCCATCCACATTCTCACCTCTATTTACAAATACGTCTTTACTCCTTCCCCAGTAACTGTACTGTCAACTTCCTGGGTGAGGGCTGTGATGCCTGACTTATCTGTGTATCTCTAATATTTGCACCCCCACCAGGGCCTGCCAGGCTTACGGTAGACCCCTAATAAATGTTGGATGAATAAGGGAGAATATATGTGTGTATTTGCTTTTTGAGTGTTGTCTGTGTATGTGTGACTGTGGTGAGTCCAAGTCTTCGTGCACTTCATGCACTGGAGTGTCTAGTCGTGTGTGTGATGAGGGCTTGTTTCCAGGTGTGTCAGATGGTGACTGAGTGTGGGACTCTGCTAGTTTGTGTCTGTTTCTGAGACAAGTGCATGTCTGCGTGGGTCTGTCTGTGACAGTGCATCTGTGATTTCTTTCTGATGGAATGAATGTCCGTTCTGGGTAGCTATTTCTGGACAGTTTCAGGGACAACGCTGCATGTCTGCTGATGTGTGTCTGTGACTGGGTGTATCCACATCTGTTTTTGTGACGCTGCCCGTCTCTGTGGCTCTATCATATATAAGTATATGTTGGCCTTTGGAGCAGTGCATGTGTGTCTCTGGAGCATCTGTGTGTCTTCCTGTGACAGATTCTGGGTCTCGTTTCTGGGACAGTACAAGTCTTTCTGTGACAGTGCATGTCTGATGGTGCCAGTGTCTTTATGACAAGTTCTGGTGGTGTGTCTGACAAAGACATTTCTGTGGCATTGTCACATGGCGATGTAGGTGTATGTGAATCTCCGGAATGCCTGTCTTTTGTAATAGTGTATCTCTGAGTGTCATTCTGGGACATAACTCTTTTTCTGGCAGCATGCCTGCCTGACGGTGGATGTCAGTCTCTGTGCCAGTGCATGTCTGCATGTGTGTCTAGGACAAGTTTATATGAATGTGTCTGACAGTACATGTATGTGTATCTCATCTGGTACTTCTGTGTGTGTCTTTGGAGTGCACGTCTGTCTTCCTGCAGCGTGAGGCCTATTTTTCCCAAATTTGTGACTAGGGTATTTTACCTCTCTGAGCTCTCTCCATTCCTGTCTCTCTCATCCGGAAGCACACCCCCTAAACCACACTCTGGTTTGCTCCCACCCCACCCCTTGCCATTCCAGATTATAGACCTGCTGACTGGGGTCACGGCCACGTCTAACCAGGTCTGTCTAGGTTAGGGGCTCCAGAAACATCCCACAGGCCACTGCCTCCGGGCGTGGGAACACTGCCTTTGACCAGCGCGTCCCCTGCGGTGGCGATCAGGGGGTTATCCCTCCTTGGCAGCGGGACAGGTTCTTCCAGGATCCTCGGCTTGAGTTTCAGGGCAGAGGCCGCCGGTCGCCTAGAAGGCTCTCTGGTCCTGGGTGAGGAGCACCCCTCGAAGACAAGGGTCCAAGCCACAGGCCCGGATTCTTAGAAGCCGGGCCTGGTGGTATCTCCGCGCTAATCTCGAGGCAGCGGCGGCAAACCAACTTCCTAGGAAAGGAGGCGGTGCAGTTATTTTTTTAAGTTTATATCGATATATACACACATACACACACATATATAAAAACAACCCCGCGCAACAACCAAAACAAATGCGGTTGCTGCAAAGGGATTCCCAGAACCAGTTTCCTCTTCGCGCGCCCCCCCTCATTTGCATGCAGGCCCCGCCCCCACGGAAGATCCGGGCATGTATTTGCATAAGAGAGTACTTGAAACGTTGAGGGTGGTATGCAAATAAGGACTGGCTCCGATTGGCTGGGGGACAGCAGGTGCCGCGTCCGGATTGATCAAAGCCAAGTAGGCGGGGCTGTCGTCCAGGGAGACTCTCTCGGGAGGCGCGTGCCCCGGATCAGTAGCGTTGGGGCTGGCGCGCACGGCGAATCTTAACGTTGCGCCGTTTGTGGGCGCTTCTGGGCCACCAGCTTCTCTGCCTTCCACCCTGGCGCCCCCCAGTCCTGGCTCCCCGGCCTCGCTGCCCGGGGCGTCCACGCCCTGCGGGCTCAGCGGGCTCAATCTGCGCAGCGCCTCCTCCATGTTGACCAAGCCTCTGCAGGGGCTCCCCGTGGCCCCCGTGACCCCCACGACGCCGCCAGGTGAGCGAGGCTCCCCTACCGCGACTAGGCCGGGAGGGCTGAAGTGGTTGAGGGCGGCAGGAGGGGAGGGGGGGAGGGGGAGGGGGGAGAGGGTCGCGGCCGGGCTCAGCACGCCCCCACCCTGAATTCCTCGTCTCCGCCTGCGTAGGAGGCAAGAATCGGGAAGCGTTCGAGGCCGAGTACCGACTCGGCCCCCTCCTGGGTAAGGGGGGCTTTGGCACCGTCTTCGCAGGGCATCGCGTCGCAGACCGACTCCAGGTATTCACCACGAGGGTCTTGGGAGGATCAGGTGTGCGCGTGGCGAGGGCGGGAGTCCTGGGGCTGGGATGCTAATTGACCGGGGAATGAGCCTACAATGTGTGTGTGGTAGGGTCATAAGGACCAGGATCCGGGTTGCTGAGGGTGTCCGAGAGTGCGCGGGCGGGCGCGCGCGCGCGTGCGTATGTGTGTGTGAGTGTGTGGCGGTCCAGGTGGGTATGTAGGGGAGGGGGGGTTTCAGGGCAGGGCTTCTGGAGGTCCAAGGAGTGAGACTTGGGAGTGGGGGTCATGAGGTCTCTAGACCCTGGTATCCAGGGGATGTGTTTATGTGTGAGAAGATGGGGACCTAAGAGCTGAGATTTTTGGGGATTTGGGAGGCAGGAGGACTAGGACCCCGGTACAGAGTTGGGGTGTCCTAGAGCTGGATGGGAAGATCGAGGGCTTGGGGTGTTAGGAAATTCAGAACTCAAGACCTGGAGTCCTGAGTGAGGGGTCCTGAAGCCTGAGAAGGGAGAGATCAGGGCTAAGGATGGTGAGAGAGGTGAATTTGGTTCTGGGGACTTGGAGGGCAGGGGAGAAGCCCCAGCTCCTTTTGGAGTGTGGTGTGCTTAGGACCAGAAAGACTAGGGTGTGAGTCAAGACTGGGAGGGGTCTGGGGGGGTAATTTGCTGGCCCCCTCACCTCAGCCGTCTTCTCCAGGTGGCCATCAAAGTGATCCCCCGGAATCGTGTGCTGGGCTGGTCCCCCTTGGTGAGTATCTTTGGAGTCCTTCCTGACCTGGCGACGCCATCTCTGACGATGGACTTACCCCCTTGCCTTTCTACGCTCCTGTGACTCCTTGGGCCCTGAAATGGTGAGGAGAATACTCCTACCAGCCCATGTTTACTCCCCTATGGTGACATCCACACCTCCATACAGTTCTGACTCACCCCAGTTCTCCTAGAGCCCTGGATTCTCCCCTCCAACCCCCCTTTCTCATGCTCCCTCCAAACACTGCTTCAGGGGCTGCCCGCAGGGCATGCTGGTGGGGAAAGAGGGGCAGAGGTCACTGGTTGCCATGGTGACCGTGGCTGCTTCTCTTCTGCCGTTAGAGCGCTAACGGACAACAGGGCGGGTCTGGGTAAGTTGTAGAGGCGGGAGCGCCCCCTGGCGGGCTCTGGGAAGCTGCGCCTGCGCAGCCTGTGAGACTCAGAGGGAGAAAATGCGCCTGCGTAGTAGCGGCATTCTCATCACTGTGAGAAAACCTGTCTGGGGCTGTGCAAGTCAGTGGACTGGCCAGGAGAGGGCTCCACCTCAGGCAGGAAGGCTGCTTCTGGCAGTCTGTGTGCCCGCGCGGGGCTTCTAGAGTGGGGTGGCTTTGTGGCCAGTAACATTTATGCCTTTTATTGAGCACTGACTGTATGCCTCAGGCTTTTTGCTTCATTATAAAAGCTTATAGTATTCCAAATCCCACTAAGACCTTCATTCAACACGGTTCTAGGTGCTTGGTGACAATGACAAAATATCACATGATAACATTATTGAGTTCTTACTTTGTGCCAGTTCCTTTGCAATTACTCACTTTCAGCTATTTAACATTTGTATATTGAGCACCTGCTGTGTGCCAGACACAATTCTAGGCACTTCGCAAAATACCACATTTATTGAGAGCTCGTTTTGTGCTAGGTCCTTTTCTACTAGTTGTTTTCACCTATTTAACAAATATGTATTGAGCCCTGTTAGCCAGCACTGTTCTAGCGCTTGAGCTATGTCAGTGAACAAAACAGACAAACCATTGTGGGAGATCAAAATTTGGCCACCCCAAAATATATCTCTTTACCTTGATTATTTTCTCTGATGGACATTTGACCTCCCCCAAACTGCCTAAAGAATTTAACATAGAAAACCTGTTTCAGGAAGGAGCCACTGTCTCTTGATGGGTGTAATATAATGTAAAATAGATGTTACAATAGGAAAGGCACCAACAAGCCCATCTTATCAAAAGTTCTGTCTCCCCCAGGCCACATTCTGTAGATGGTCCTGCAAAGAGTTGCCAGACAAACATTTACATTTATAAGGGAAATCTCCATTTGTAAAGGTACCTCCCTCCCTACTGGGAAGACGGGAGATGACCTCATTTCTAGAAACTTATCAATGTGGAAGAGGAGGCCTTTAAATCTGCATAACCTTACTCTTGTTTACTGTGCTTTTCTGGTAATCTCCCACAACTGACTCCCACCCTCCCCCAACATCCTCCTTTGTCTTTAGGTGAAGATAGTATTTAAGATGAGAATCTCTGCCATTTTGTTGAGAAACTCCGTTTCCCTGGTTTCTCCCATGTATACATGTTATTAAACTTGGTATTATTTTTTCCTGCTAACCTGTCTTTTAATTATTTGGCCAGCTATAGAGCCTTAAGGGAAAGGGCGGCGGCGGCGGGAGGGGATTCTCCCTCTTCCCCAACACCATTATACAATAATAGTATTTACTGAGTGCTGACTCCATGCCAGACTCTATGCTATACTTTCATCTATTGGACAGACATTTATTGAGTACCTGCTGCGTGTAAAGTACTGTTCTACTCTCCTTGGAGATGTCATTGAACAAAACAGATAAAGTATTACACAATAGTGTTCATCAGTTGCTGCTTCTGCCAAAGGCCTTTTGTTAAGAACCACTTTCATTTATTCTTCAAATATTTAGTGAGCTCCTGTTACATGCCAGATGTGCACAGGCTTTAGGCTCAATTCACCTTCCCAGTGGCTGTGTGAGTTTGAGCCCTTAAGACAAGGAAACTGAGGTCCAGGGAGGAAAGCAGGTTGCTCAAGGCCACACAGTCAGGAGGCTGAGGGTCTGTGATTTAAGTTCAGGTGAAAAGTCAGCCTCAGAGCTGCTGGCCTGATGTCTGTGTTCTCTTTGCTCTCCCTGCTTCCCCCCACAGTCAGACTCGGTCACATGCCCACTAGAAGTGGCCCTGCTATGGAAGGTGGGTGCAGGTGGTGGACACCCTGGTGTGATTCGCCTGCTTGACTGGTTTGAGACACCAGAGGGATTCATGCTGGTCCTCGAGCGGCCTTTGCCCGCCCAGGATCTCTTTGACTACATCACAGAGCAGGGCCCATTGGGTGAAGCCCGAAGCCGCTGCCTCTTTGCCCAGGTAGTGGCAGCCGTTCGGCACTGCCATGCCCGTGGAGTTGTCCATCGTGACATCAAGGATGAGAACATCCTAATGGACCTCCGCCGGGGCTGTGCCAAACTCATCGATTTTGGTTCTGGCGCCCTGCTTCATGATGAACCCTACACTGACTTTGATGGTAAGGCTTCCCTAAATCTCAGTGGGGGGGGGATTTACCTTTTATCTTGATGGCCTCTTGACCTTTGACTTCCAGTGGTAAGGTGTGCTGTAACCCTTGATCTATAATGTACCTTTATAAGGTTCTTGATTTTTAATATTGGGGACTCTCAAGCCTTGCCCTCTGATAAAGTCCATCTTCTGACAGCGCCCTCTCCTTGTTCTGGGCTCTTATTCTGCTGAGGGGATCCTGTTATTATCCTGGGTATTCTTTTTCTGGTAAGGGGATCCTACTTTTAAGTGCTTTAATCCGTTGAGAGTAATCTTTTATCTTAATTGCTCTCTTTCTGGTGATGAGACCCTGCTGTTATAAAGAGCTCCTATTCTGGTAAGGGGACCCTCATATAGAGTGAGTTATCTTAATTCAGGTGAGGGGACCATACTTCCTGGGGAGAGTGGGGTGGGAAGAAGGGCATTAACAGAGAGTGGTCTAACCTCTGGCTTGCGTGCAGGGACAAGGGTGTACAGCCCCCCAGAGTGGATCTCTCATCACCAGTACCACGCACTCCCAGCCACTGTCTGGTCACTGGGTATCCTCCTCTACGACATGGTGTGTGGGGACATTCCCTTCGAGAGGGACCAAGAGATTCTGGAGGCTGAGCTCCAGTTCCCTGCCCATGTCTCCCCAGGTGAGGCCCTCACTGGCCCCAGCCCAGTGGACTCCATCCCTCCCAGTGACTAGTGCTCGCAACTGCTAATCTCTTGTGTGCTTCTGCCCTGCAGACTGCTGTGCCCTCATCCGCCGGTGCCTGGCCCCCAAACCCTCTGCCCGACCCTCACTGGAGGAGATCCTGCTGGACCCCTGGATGCAGACACCAGCCGAGGATGCACCCCTCAGTGCCCCCAAAGGAGGTCCCACTCCTTTGGCTTGGTCCCTGATGCCCTAGTCCTGGCCAGGCCCCCACTAGTTGGAATAGCCATCCCATGGCCATGCCGCAGGGATAGATGGACATATGTTGACCTGGTTTTACAGGTCACTAAAAATTCAGTGTTACTAGGGTCAGAGATTGGGGATCAAAGGTCAGAAGACATAAGCCAAGTCTGCCCAGTCCCCATCCCAATCCTGCTAAGGAGCCTTCCTCCCAGAATTTATGGCCTCTTATTCTGGAGCGGGGACTTCTCATTTTGCTAAGGATGTTTATTTGCTTGGAAGTTACTTTCATTCTGAGCCCCAGGACTCTTATTGTGATGTTATAACCCCTACACTAGCACCTCCTGCTACCACCACACAAACTTAGTTCAAATGCTCTTACTTGGGCAAGGGTGCTTTCCTTCTAATAACCCAGCAGCTCATATTTTAGCAAAGGGACCCTTTCCCCGAGCCTAGGGTCCCATATTCAGTTAAGCTGCTTGCCTACCTCAGCCCAGGGTTGCTTATTCTGGGGGAGGTAATGCCCTATTGTTATCCCAGGGCTCTTTCTTTTTTCTTTCTTTCTTTTTGTGAGGGGACCCTACTCTGTTATCCCAAGTGCTCTTATTCTGGTGAGGAGAACCCTACTTCCATGATTTGGGAAGGAATGGGAGATGGACACCACCAGAGTCCACTAGGATGGGGTGAATGGGTTTTTTTTTTTGAGGGATGGGGTGGGGGAAATAAGTCTTGTTGTTTGTTCTCCTGGGGCTCCCCCCTCCACCTTTTTCAATTCTTGCTGCCTCCTTCTGAGCCAGGATTGTCCAGTTGCTGAAATGTAAATACTTATGTATTAGGGGGAGGGGAGCTCCAACTGTGTCCTCTTCCCTTCTCCCCCTGCCTGGATTATTTAAAAAGCCATGTGTGGAAACCCACTATTTAATAAATGTAATAGAATCAGAAGTGACTGGCCATTTGTGGATGCAGCAAGGAAACCCACTGTTTAATAAATGTAATAGAATCACAAGCGACTGGCCATGTGTAGATGTATGTAGCAAGGCATTTGTGGAGCATCTACTGTATGCTGAGCCAAGAGCGAGATGGACTGGATCTCTATGCCTTCAGGAAGCCTCAGTCTTGTGGTGCCATCCTAAAGATCTTTTATGGGTTCATTTAAGCAGGACCACAAAGAAAAACTGTTGATCCCCCCCAGCTCTTACGTAGCACCCAGTATGTGCAGAAGGGCTCCACTGCAGATTTTGTAGACACTGAAGATGTTTGGGACACATCCCCAAATCAAAGATGGCCAGCTCAGAGGCAGAGAAAACTCCTTTCCCCCAGTCCCAGGGAGGAAATAAATCCCTTCCCCATGGGAGAAGAAAAGCACTTTCAGGGTACTGGTGAGGACGGCCCGGGTTGAGCGCTGAGAGGAATCTTTCCAGCCCGTCCTTGTTTTTTAATAACGTCCAGGTGTACTCCTGTTTTGCCCTTACCTTTTCACCTCTCCCTTGCCTTCTTACCTGCTCATCCCTGTCATCTCTCCTTTCTCAACTCTTGACTTACCTGCCCTGCCATGTTCTATCTTGGTTTCACTTTTCCTGACCTCAGCTGTACCCTTTCTTGCCCTGCTTCCAAAAGCTAACCTGTAAGCCTCTCACCTGCTGGCTTACCTGTCCCCTTCTCACTTTTCCATCCTCAGTGGTGACTAACTTGTCCTCCCTTCTCTCAGTCTCAACTCACCTGTGCCTTTTCATTAGTATATCCTCTGCTGCTCTGCTTTTATCTGCTGGCTTACCTGCCTGACTGGCACCTGCCCCATCCCCTCAAAGTCTCATTGCCCTCCCAGATGCCCGCGGGCTCTCCAGGGAGCGGGCCCTCGCCAGAAGAGGGGAAAGAGGAACTTCAGGCCAACCGGGAAGGACCTACGAGTTTTGATGCGGAAAGGGCGGTGCCATCTGAAGAAGGTGCCAACAAATAGCCAAGATAGAAGAGGGGCAGCCGAACCAATGAGACGAGGAGTCGGGATGGGCGGGTGATATGGAAAGCGGAATCAAGGAGGACGAGGGCGGGTCTACTAACGAGAATGGGCCAATGAGGCGCTGCAAGGACGGCGGGAGGCTGAGCTGGCGGCGTGCCGGGTCTCCAGATCTCGACGGAATTTGGAAATCCCGAGACCGCTGTCTTAGATTCCGTGTTCAGGAGCGGAGGAGAAAAGCCACTGCTAGGGCCAGCCCCTCATTCGCCCCAGCCCCATCCCGGAGGCCCGGAAGCGGAAGTGACGGACACGGAAGTGGCCTGCTGTTGCCGAGGGGACGGGCCAGGCAGATGCCAACATGGCAGCGGTTGGGTCTGGCGGTTCCACCGCGGCGGCCGGGCCAGGGGCGGTCTCTGCGGGGACGCTGGAGCCTGGAACCGCGAGTGCGGGTGAGACAGGCTGTGGCCGAGCAGTCGGCAACGGGGCGGGGGTCGGCATCGCTGGGGGGGGAGGGGTCAGGAAGGTTCCTTACTGAAGCGAGAGACAGCATCCCATATGGACCGACCTATGTGTAAGTGTGAGGGGGAGGGGGTAGGGAGTACGGAATGAACCATTGTGAGTGTTGGGGGCGGGGAAGAGACCATTCTGAGGGTGGGGGGGTCCCTTCCACATATGGAGAGTAGAGACCACTCTGAGTCTGGGGGTAGTATTTTCTTTTGGGGAGGCTGAGACCACTAAGGCCATTCTGAGTGTGTGTGAGGTCTGTCCTTATAGAAGGGAGAAACCATTCTGCGAGTGGAAGAGTTCGTCCTTATAGAAGGGAGAAGCTATTCTGAGTGTGATGGTTTCTTCCTTATAAAGGGACAGAGGCTATTGTGAGTTAAGGTGGGGCAGGTCCTTCCTTGCATGATTTAGAAAGTCCATTTGGAGGATGGGGATGTGCTTCATTATACGGAGAGACCGTTCTGGCGGTTCCTTCCTAATGGAGGTAGGGTTAGTTGTATGTTGGAGTGGGAGGGTCCTTCCTTATATGGCAGAGACAGGACGTTCTGAGTGTGCTAGGCCCTTCCTTATAGTAGGGAGAGTTCATTGTGAGTGTGAGTGGAACAAGGAATAACTCCTTGGCTGGAGGTAGGGGGATGCGGTGGTGGGAGGATGACTGGACCATGTGGAATGTAGGGAAATATTTCCTTATATCATTGAGGGAACCAGACCATTCTTGGTGGAATAACCATTCATTATACAGGATTCAATCCTTGGGACAGTGGGGGAATCATTTCTTATATTTGTTAGACCATTCTAGGTCAGGAGGAATCAGTCATCATAGGACAGAGGGGCTGGAGAGACCATTCTGAGTGTGAGGGAATGGAATAATTTATTAGATGGGAGAAAGACCATTCCTTAGGGGGTGGACATGTCTTATACAGTGGTCCCATTCCCTGTATTGGGGTATCATTCTTTACATGGGACAATCCCTCATTTAATAGAAGCATCATTTCATATAAATCTTCGGTTTGCACATCCATAAAATGAGAATCCTTATAGTTCCTTTGGAGATCAGAGCGATATAGGGGTCTGTTGAGGTAATCCATATAAATCCCTTAGCCCAGTGATAGGCACACAGTAAGCAGTCAATAAATGTCGAGAATATAGTTGGTATTCTGTCTGGAGGAGGGTTGTTTCTCACTCAGGAGAGGGAGAGAGGGGGCTGAGGTGGGTCTCCAGTGCCTGCTTCAGCCGTTTCCTGATACCCCAGCAAGGATTCCAGGTATGGGCTGGGCAGGGCGGGGCCCACTTCCCCCTTTCTGGCTCTTCCTGCCTGTGGCTGAGGCAGTAGAAGCAAGCAGGCGGGATCAGACCTTCATTGGGTCAGATAGGCAGGCCGAGGGAGGAAGTGGTGGTGGCTAGGAGGATCCTGGTTGAGAAAGGAGAGGAGAGGGTAGCGGTGGGGCTATATCCCGGCAGCTTCTGACTCCTTCTTCCCCCTTGCTCTTTCCATTCCCACAGCTCACCGGCGCCTCAAATACATATCCCTAGCCGTGCTGGTGGTCCAGAATGCCTCCCTCATCCTCAGCATCCGCTATGCCCGCACGCTGCCTGGGGATCGCTTCTTTGCCACCACTGCTGTGGTCATGGCCGAAGTGCTCAAAGGTCTCACCTGCCTGCTGCTGCTCTTCGCACAGAAGAGGGGTACGAGCCAGGCAGGGGGGCTGCGCTGGGGTCTGTAGGCGAGACTCTACGTAGTGTGTGTGTGTGTGTGTGTGTGTGTGTGTGTGTGTGTATACGTACCCACACCCACATGTGGGGTTTGCTGTGGGAGTACTTCTATGTCTGTGAAACTGCCTAGGGAGTGTGAAGTGCAGCTAAGCTGCCTTGTCCCTTGAGCTCTGAGTAGCTGCAGCCACACTTTTATAGCCCTAAGCCCCCGGGGGGCTGGCCCGTGTGGATTGTGGGACTGAGACAGTCTGTGCAGCAGGCGACCCTTACATGGTGACTTGTTTACTTCTGTTTAACTTTTCATTATGGAGAATTTCAAACATATACAGAATCAGAGAGAATAATAAAATAGTAAAATATCCACGTACCCATCACCCAGATTCAACAATTATCAACTCGTGGCCACTCTGCCATTAAAAAGCATCAATGATGATCCACTCACTGCCAGTCTATGTCTGCCCACCTATCCCCCCGCCTTATTATACTGAACTATGTCCCACAGGAAGTACTATTTTGAAGTAAATCCTCCCTTATTATCTTGAATAAATATTTTGGTACATTTAAAAAAAACTGCAATATCTAAAAACGATATATCAAAAAATTACCAATAATTTAGTTAATAAAATAATCAAATATCCAATGTTCAGATTTTATAATGATTTCTCAAATGTCATAAAAGTGTTTAAAAATTGGTTTGAGTCAGGTTTATATAAGTTCAGCGTTTGTGATTGGTTAATGTCTTCTGGGTCTGTTAACCTCTAGGTGCCCCTCCAACTGTTTTTTACTCTCTGCAGTTAATTTGTGGAAAAAATCAGGTTATTTGTCTTATATACTTTGGGTAGCCTGCATTGAGCTGACTGCCTTCTTGTGGTATCATTTCACGTGTTCTTCTGTCCTCTATATTTCCTATAAGTTGGGTTTCTACTAATTCAAACACTTCCCTGAAGGCTGCCTTCTTTAAAATGTTGCCCAGTTGTTTCTCTATTTTAAAGGCCTTGCATGCGGCTCTACCCTTGGTATTTACATTGAAGAAAACATTCTTTTTTTTTTCCCTTAAATAGAAATCTTTACTCTGTTTTTTTTTCTTTTTTTTTTGTGAGGAAAATCAGCCCTGAGCTAACATCCGTGCTAATACTCCTCTTTTTGCTGAGGAAAACCGGCTCTGAGCTAACATCTATTGCCAATCCTCCTCTTTTTTTTTCCCCCAAAGCCCCAGTAGATAGTTGTATGTCATAGCTGCACATCCTTCTAGTTGCTGTATGTGGGACGTGGCCTCAGCATGGCTGGAGAAGCAGTGCGTCGGTGCGCATCTGGGATCCGAACCTGGGCCACCAGCAGCGGAGCTCGCGCACTTAACTGCTAAGCCACGGGGCCGGCCCTACTCTATTTTTTAAAAAATGAAACTTTTAAAAACTTTGTGATAATTGTAGATTCACATGCAGTTCTAAGAAACAATACAGAGAGATCCCCTGAACCCTTTAACCTATTCCCCACAACGGTAACATCTTGTAAAACTGTTACCACACAAAGAGCATGGTCTGCTGGCCTCAAGACAAAAGCCAAGCATCAAGAGGCAAGATAGTGGCAGAGAAAGGGCAGTTTATTACAGCTTGCTAGCAAGAGGGAAGATGGCTGACTAACATCCAAAAGAATAATCTTAAGGGGGCACAAAATCTTACAGCAGTTATATAGGCCGGTGGGTTATAGGGCAGGGGGTTAGGAATGTTGACCCTCTGGTATTACAGACCGGGAGTGCCACACCAGATCTTTCAGTTTTCATTGATGATAGCTATCAGCACGAAGAAAACATTCTTACTCGCTCATTAGCTCCAGGGCCCTGAGAGGCAGCAGTTTAGGAACGCACCTGCCGTGTTCTTGATTGATTCTGAGACACTGCTGAGAGAACACTGTGTGGCAAGCCCTGCTTTGGCTGTGGAGGTGGACGTGTTAGCAATGCAGATGTGCATCCTGCCCTCACAGGGCTTGTATTTCAATGGGGAAAAAGAAATAGTTACAGACTTAATCACAGGCTGTCATATTTTATCTATAATTTCAAACCCCCTCCCCCCATTTTTTTTTCCTGAATTAGTTTGGTGGTAAAACTTGGCCTGACCTGATGTGGAGCTATTGGTATGTTTGTGTTTTTTATTTTTCCCATTTTGTGTGAATATTTATACAAGTCACTGCAGAAATGTGAATGTGCTTGATTATGGTGTGCAGCCCCATATATGTGGGGTGTTTTATGTGAAATATATGGTATATCTACCATGTTACCTTTCTAACACCTGAAAATTTCTGAACACCAAAATCTCTGGGCCCAGGGATTTTGGGTAAGTGGTTAGAGACCAGTAATTACTCCTGGGATTAATGCTGGGAAGGGCAAGGACAGGGTTTTGTCGCAGGAGTTCCTGCAATAACCTTGTGCAGTGGCTCTGGGGTTTTCCCTGAGGAGTGACACCCAGCTGAGACTTAAATGATGAACTGTAAAAAAGTGGGGTGAACTTTGCAAGGGCCTCATCATATAGGAAAGTATATCTTATTGATTGATTGGAGCAGGTCCCAACCGGACTGTCTGCTTAATAGTCAAGCCTGCATTCTTCCATGTGGCAGGGGCACCTGCTTGGTGTGGGTAGGGCTGACAGAAAGATGCCACCGAGTGGGAGATGGCCCCTGCTCTCAGGCAGCTCAGGGGCCAGTAAGGAGCTAGGATAAGTCTAAAAGTCGAGTCGAAAACTTCCCCTTTGTTTGGTAAACAGACTTCCACCCACACTCCTAGGGCTTCTACTGCACAAGCTCCTAGTTAATGCTGGTAATTGCATTGTACAAACGTGTGTTGAGTGCTTGCCCTGAATGGGGCTCTGTGCCAGGGAGGTAGGCTCTGAGATGGGTGAAATATGGTCTGTGATTCTTCGACACAGTGTTAAGGGTGATGTTTTTGTGTCCATTAAACTGAGTATCCGAAAGGCCTACTGGAGACGTGGTTGTACTGTGGAGAAATTGAGAGCACAGACCTCGTTGTCACCCTTAGGGAGTCAGAGTGTGGTGGGGAGACACAGGACCAGGCCCAGTCCTGGCCCTCAGGAGATCCCCATCTTTGGTAGTCAGTGCTAAAAAGGGCTCTTCTCCCCCCACCTAGGTAACGTGAAGCACCTGGTTCTCTTCCTCCACGAGGCTGTCCTGGTGCAGTATGTGGACACACTCAAGCTCGCAGTGCCCTCTCTCATCTACACCTTGCAGAATAACCTCCAGTATGTTGCCATTTCCAACCTGCCAGCTGCCACTTTCCAGGTGAGCCCCAAGCCCAGCCTGGCCCCAGAGGAACTGGCTGGGGTGGGGTATATAGGATGTTGTGGGGGGCTGCAGAGAGTGGGAGCTGTGTCATCTTCAGAATGTCCTTGGAACTCCCTCAACCTTGGTTTCCTCATCTGAGAATTGGGAATGGAAATGGTAATAACTGTGCACTGGGGTGCTGGGATGATTAAAAGAAATAATACCTGGAAGAGCCCTTGGTTGGCAATAAATAAGCTTTAGGTTATTTGCAGGCAGCCTTGTGAAATGGTTCAAGAGCCTGAGTGTAAATCCCAGCTCTGCTCTTTCCAGCTGTGTGATTATTGGGCCAGTCACGTAACCTCTCTGTGCCTTAGTTTTCTCATCTTTAAATTGGACATAACAATAGTGCTCACTTCATACATGAGGATTAAATGAACAAATTCATGTGAAGTGCTTGGACCCACACCCAGCATGTAGTAAACACTATGTAACTGTTTGCTGACATTATTGTTGTGGCTGACTTATTTGTATCAACATGTATTTATCACACCTCCCTCAGCACTAAGTCTACCATTCATTCATTACCTGCTGTGTGAGATGTTTCACATACATCAGCCGTATTTTACAGATGATGATGTCAGGGCTCAGACAGGGCAAATGCTTTGTTCCTCGTCACACGGCCAGAAAATGGGGTTGGGATGTGGACTCGGGTGTGGCCTGGGACTGCCTTGCACAGCCATCCTCCTGTGTACCTTCTGGGAGGCATCTCAGAGCTATTTAGCTGCATCTCAGTCGGTGGCCAGTAGCTAGATACTTCTGCTGTTTTTATTGTCATCTACCCCATGCTGTCCCTCCATTGTGCCTGGGGGCCCACAGTGGGTGCTGTCCCCCGTGTGCACATGTTGGGGGTTGGGGGCAGCCCTCAGTGCCTTCCACATGCCACTCACAGGTGACGTACCAGCTGAAGATCCTGACCACGGCACTGTTCTCCGTGTTCATGCTGAACCGCAGCCTTTCCCGGCTGCAGTGGGCCTCCCTGCTGCTCCTCTTCACTGGCGTCGCCATTGTCCAGGCACAGCAAGCCGGTGGCGGGGGCCCACGGCCACTGGATCAGAACCCTGGGGCAGGCCTGGCGGCTGTCGTGGCCTCCTGTCTCTCGTCAGGCTTCGCAGGTGTCTACTTTGAGAAGATCCTCAAAGGCAGTTCAGGCTCTGTGTGGCTGCGCAACCTGCAACTGGGCCTCTTTGGCACGGCACTGGGCCTGGTGGGGCTCTGGTGGGCAGAGGGCACTGCCGTGGCCCGCCGTGGCTTCTTTTTCGGGTACACGCCTGCCGTCTGGGGTGTGGTACTCAACCAGGCCTTTGGTGGGCTACTGGTGGCCGTTGTCGTCAAGTACGCTGACAACATCCTCAAGGGCTTTGCCACCTCCCTGTCCATTGTGCTGTCCACTGTTGCCTCCGTTCGCCTCTTTGGCTTCCACGTGGACCTGTTGTTTACCCTTGGCGCTGGGCTGGTCATCGGTGCCGTCTACCTCTACAGCCTTCCCCGAGGTGCAGCCAAAGCCCTAGCTTCCGCCTCTGCCTCCGCCTCGGCGCCCTGCACTCACCAGCAGCCTCCGGGGCAGCCGCCGCCACCGCAGCTGTCTTCACACCGTGGAGACCTCAGCACGGAGCCCTTTCCGCCAAAGTCAGTGTTGGTGAAGTGAGGGCTGGTGGTGGTGGGGGGAGACAGGGAGGGGGACTGGGTGGAGGGTGTTGGGCATCTGCAGGACCCAAGTCACCACTGGGTCCTGGCCCCTGTGGGGTTGGAAGAGTCTTTTTCTCCCAGGTCATTGCGACTTCTGGAGAGGCGTGGGACTAGGTGGGGGGTCACATGAACCCTTCCTTGTAGGCTGACCCTCCTCCTCTGGAGGGGGTTTCTAGAGCTGCCTCCTCTGTCCCAGTCTAAGCCCTTTGGGGACCGGGTCAGGGGTATTGTGTCTGACTCCCTCGGCGGGGCGGGGTGTCCTCTCTCTCATGCCTAGGAGAGTCCCTCCCAGCAGTCCCTTAACCTTTGTAAGGACAAATTGGACAAAAATCCTCCAGCTCTTTGGTAATGATTGACGCCTACCTGTGGGGTTCCGTTTCCCACAGCTAGAGGCCTTCTCTCCTCCCTCACCACTACACTGGATAATGTTAGCAGCTCTTTTTGTGGCCTTAGGGCAGCTTCCCTGATACAGAGACCCTTGAAAATGGGCCTCTTGTGAGTGCCCAGGGGGAGGAAGGGGTGCAAGCTGAGATTTTTGCATCAGCCCATTCAGGGGGAAGGTGCAGTCAGGGCCATTTGGTTTTTAGTGGTTTGGGGATTTGTGGTGTAATCAGGTAATTAAGGGTGTGGGAAAAGCGGGGAGGGGAGGTCCTTGAAGTGACGGAATCTCATTGAATCTAAGACACTGTCAGTTGCTGGATGCAGGGTTATCTTCTGAGATGTCCTGAGAGGAAGAAGAAAGCTACCAACCACACTCTTGATACCCCACTGGCTATATGAAGCACCCTTCTTCATGAGGGGGGGTGTCTTAAAATTGCTGAAATGTGGAACCTGCCCCCTGCACTCCCCAAAGCTTATTAACCCCTTAACTGTCTCCCAGGGTGTGTGTGTATGTGTGTGTGTGCGTGTGCACGGAAGATGCCTGGGCTGTCTTTGCTATGTGTAAATAGGGCCATTGGATCTTTATTTTTGATTAATTTGTTCTGATTTTTGGGTTTGTTTTCTAAGGAATTGTAATGAACAAATGTCAGGATCCCCAATGCCAAATAAAGATGTTGTATTTATCTAGTCCACGTGTAGCTCTCTGACCCAGGGGACCCGCTCTCTCCGCGTGGGCTGTTACTAACCGCAGGACTACCAGCTGCACTACTGTCGCCCTCGCTTGCTCACGACGCCCACCTGCCAGCCCACCCCAGCTGTCTGTGTTTTTCTTTCCTCCCCATTCCCACCACAGGTTGCTCACCAAGGTGAAGGGTTCGTAGCTGCTGGGATTGAAGACGCTGGCCTGGCCTCGTTCTCCCTTCTTGCCCTGGCTCAGCCGGGACCAAACTCTCTGATCAGTATTAGGGGTGGGGGGAGGTAGACACCGAACCTCCTGTCGTCCCCCCTCCCCCCACGCAGGGCAGACACGACTAAACTCTCTGGTAATGAGGGCCTGGAAAGGACCCACTTTGGCTTCCAGCCCCTGCTGCCCCCATGTCCCTGCCACCCCCACACTATTTCTTAGGTGAGTTTTTGCAAATAAAATGTTTTGCATCTTGCCGGCTTGGGTTGGGAAGCCTCGAAAGTGCAAGAGAAGGAAGCACTCAGGCCTCATGGGCATGATCCACTGAAAAGCTTTTATTAAAAACCCTGGGGCAGTGTGGGTGGGGTTCAGTCCTGCTGCTTGGTTCGGGAGGCCTCGGCATTGGCCCTGAGCACAGCTCCTGGGGACGGGTAGGGACGCTGCTGGAAGAGGGGCCCAGCTGCTGTTGTATCTGCACCCGTCTTGGCCTCGTTCCGCTTGGGGAGTCCTGTTGACCACGTGCCCCTGGAGGTAACAGAGGATCGGGGGTGGGAATGTGGGATGTGGTAGGCACCCCCCACAACACTGACGAACAGAGAAAGGACATAGTGAGGAAGAAAGGAATGGTCACTGGTACCATGAGTCACGAGCAAAGAGAAGTGCTCATGAGGCGTTGTCACTTACCGGGGCGCATCTGAGTACGAACTGGGGTCCATGGGGTCTAACTCTTCATCCTTCCGGCTTGCCACTGTGGAAGTAGGTGGCAGAGTGAGGTCTTCAGTGGAGGCACAAGGAGCCTCTCATCAATGAGTTTCCCCATCCCAGGAAGAAATGGAGCCCGCGGCTGCCATGGCCCACAGCACCTTCTCCCAGGCCCCAGGTTCAGGCACTCGCATGAAGGGAAGTGAGGGCTTCCTTACATTGTGCGTCCCTGGCGCCCCACTTGCCTCACTGCAGTCCTGGCCCTGTCAGCTTACCCTTCTTGCTCTTGGGGTAGGGAGCCAGCTCCTCTCGGCGATGGTGGCGCCGTTCTTTGCCCTCTTCTCGGTCTGCCTTGTCATACCCACGGTCCCGGTCCCGGTCCCGATCCCTGTCCCGTTCTCTCTCTCTGTCCACCTTGTCGTAGCCACGCTCTCGGTCTCTGTCAGACTTCTCGTGGCCCCGGTCTGACTTCTCGTGGCCCCGGTCTGACTTCTCGTGACCACGGTCTGATTTCTCGTGACCACGGTCTGATTTCTCATGGCTCCGGTCTAACTTCTCCTCAGCATCTGGGGACAGGAAAGCTTTGAAGCGACCTTCCTTCTCCCATCTCAGGATCCAGCAGCCTCTGCGTTTGACCACCTCCCTTGCCTGGGGCTGGGCCTGCCTATCGCACCTGACGCTCCTGGATTCACTATCATTTACCTGATCCCTCTCTGAGAACTACTAGAAGCCCTTGAGGCACCCTTGGATCTGCCAACTCACCTGCATTACTGCTCCTGAGCTTCTTGGCAGATTTGGTAACGACCGAGTTGGGGTCATGTGGGGAGAGCCAGGACACGAGGTCTGTGTCCACATTCCAGTAGTAAGGGAGCCCGCTGTGGGGCAGTGGGAGGGAGGGAGGGATAGAGAAGGAATGTCAGCACAGATGTTCCCTCCTTGTAGCCTCAACTCTTGTCTCCCCAGTCTCCGCCTCTACCTGGCCCATGTCAGGACCCCGTGGGGAGGACCCCCAGATCTCTTACCCCGAGGTCAGGGACAGCACAGGAAGGATGAAGTCAGAAGTCAGTTCCCTCCCCCCTGGCCAGGTCCCCAGGCTCACCAGGAAGGGTCGAACACCTTGTACCAGCTTGGTGGCAGGCCCTCCAACCGGGTGGCCTCATAGTCCACAGGATCATCGTCATAGTCCTCGGCAATGATCTCTTCCTCTGGTTCTGGCATGGCGGGGGGAGGAGGAGAGCAGTGAGGAGCAGGGGGATTCTCATCCTACAGTTAGAGCCTGGAGAGACACTAGCATTCACACAGACCACGTGTGTGTGCCAGGTCTCACCGGCCCTGGCAGATACTGCTCACATTCCAAAGCCACTTATCTGGATATCGGGATTTACGAAAAACTGTACTTAAATCTGTTCTGTTTCTGGGTTCACATAAGATATGTTACCCAAAGCTATTACCCAAAGCTATCTGGTTTCAGAGTTTAGATAGGGATTCACCAACAAATGTATCCATATTTATTCAGTTCCTGAGTTCAGGTAGTATGTGACACCACACTATCCAAATCTGTTTGGATCAAATGAGTTTGAACAGCAAGGGGTTTATCTGAAAATATGTCCAAATCTATTCAGCTCCCAAACTTGGCAAATATGGGGTTTCTGACGCCTGTATATTGAGTAGCAAGAGTTTGGATACCAAGGGATTTATCCAAACACTGCTCTGAATCTATTCAGTTCCTGACACATAGTAAGCATGCAGCAGTTGTCAGTTCATATCAGTAAAATTAAAAGGGTGTATATTGTCAGCCCAGTAGCTGACCTTCAGTAGGCCTATCACAGATTTCAGCTGCAGAAATAACTAACAATGAAATGCACAGGCATACCTCAGAGAGACTGCAGATCTGGTTCCAGATCACCGCAAGAAAGTGAATATTGCGATAAAGTGAGTCACACGGATTTTTTGGTTTCCCACTGCTCATAAGAGTTATGTTTACACTATACTGTAGTCTATTAAGTGTGCAATAGTATTATGTCTAAAAAAACAATGTATATACCTTAATTAAAAGTACTTATTGCTAAAAAATGCTAACCATTCTTCAGCCTTCAGCGAGTCGTAATCTTTTTGCTGGTGGAGGGTCTTGTAAAAAACACAGTATCTGCGAAGCACAATAAAATGAAGTATGCCTGTATATGTCAGCAACAGCATAGTGCCTGTCACACAGTAGGCCCAAAATAGATATCAGCTATAATCATCAGTATTTTTAATAAGATATATATACTCTCAGCACAGGGCCTAGTACTCAATAGGCTTAAAATAAATATCAATGATCATTATCAGTATTATTTACCACAAGATATATGCCTGGCACACAGTAGGCTTATAATAGATGTCACTTATCAATACGGTGAAAATAAGATGTATTTTCCAGTGCCCGGCATACTATAGCTCAAAATAGATGCCAGCTTTTACTGTTATTGACAAGGTATAAATATTAGCAGCAGCAGCACAGTAGGCCTAAATGATAGATCCTATCATTATTTTATACTGTTAACCATAATGTGTATGCCAGGCACTTAGTAAACCCAAAATACATGTCAGCTATTAATGTGAACAATAAGGTATGTATCATCAGCATAGTGCCTGACACCATGGGAGGTCTGAAATAATGTTATTAGTATGGTAAAGAACAAAGTATTAGCATCCTGCCACTGTACTTGGCGCACGCACAGGAGACTGCAGATGTCAGCTATCTTCACTATTAGATACTTTGTAACCACTTCCATAGATTGATTGATGGATTGAACCTGGCATACAGTAGGCCCAAAATAGTCATCAGCTGTCAGTATTAAGGATGAAATATCTATCTCCCCCATGCCTGGCACATGGTAGGAATGGGTGTCAGGAATCCCCATTTTTAACAGTGAAATGCCTGCCACCCCACTGCCTGGTGCACAGTAGGCCCATGCTAGTTATCAAGTGGCAGTCTCAACAACAAAGTGCCTCTCAAGCCTGGCACATGGTAGGCCCATCTGCTCTTAGCTCTCACCGGGCTCCAGATGTTTGAGGATGCCTCTCTTGGCCAAGCGGGTCTGCAGCGCAACGGGCAGCGGCATAGCGGGTAGCAGACAGACCTAGGGACAGATGGACAGACTAAAAACCAGCTCAGATGAGGACTCAAATCTGGAGCCCATAACCAAACGCCTCCCCCGAGCATGTACTCATCTGGACCCCCACCTTACCCACCTGCAACAGTAGCTGGGTGGACGGAACCTAAGCGGGAAAAGGCGGAAGAGATAGATGGCAACATCACCAAAACTCTCACCAACCCTCCCCTCCAGGCCGGGTGCTCCATGACCGGGTTCCTATCCCAGGCCCAGGCTCCACCCATAGCTGAAGGGGCCAGCGCAGCTCCCCCGCGCCCCAGAAATGGGTTCACCCAACGTCCCCCAAAGACTGCCGGGTAGGAGGAACCAAAGCGCTGAGAAGGGGGAGGAGAATGCAGTACTTCCTCCCACTCCAAAAAATGCGCCCACTCCGACGTTACCAATACAGTCACGCGGGTAGTGGAAGGCTGTCAGACCGGCCGCCTCTCTCTTGTCGCCCCTTGATCACCAGGACCCCACGACTCTCTTCTCCCAAAGCACAGAACGAGGTCCTCTCTCCCCGAGCCTTGGAGTAACTGGATGACGCTCAGGCTGCGGTGAACAGACGACGCAAGCCGGGGTGACCAATGAGAGCGCGCCCTTGGCCTGACGTATGGCCAAGCGACCCAATCGTCGCCCTGGAAGAGGTGGAAAGCTCGAGCGCCTGTGTGCGTTTACAGTGAGGGCGTGGCCCGGCCGGGGTTTAGCCAGACTGCGCGGCCGGACGCTGGCGCCATGGAGGAGTACGCTCGGGAGCCTTGGTACGGCGATGGGCACAGGCATCGGGACTGTTGCTGTGGTGCCACGGCCAGCTGTGGGAGGCGGGCGGGGGAGGCACCGGCCACACAGCGCCACATCCCAGACTCGGGAGACGTTTAAAATCTGTCTCCTTTGCTCCCCTCCACTTGATTCCTCCCACTCGGGCTCCGTTAAGAGGGGCCCCAACTGTGTGCCTGGAAGTGAAGGACGAGCCACCCCACGTTTCCCCTGACTACGTATCTCCCAGCCCCTCTTTGTTAACGAAAAGACACGCTGGTCGAATCCATTCCAGCTGGGGGGTGGTGCGGTGTTGAGCGGAAATCCCCAGGGTTACCACGCGTGGTTTTTCCCAGGTCGCTGTAGTTAATGGGGGCGGGGCCTGGATGAGCCTATTCTGGGCAAGGAGGGGGTGCTGGATCCTCCCCACGGTCGGCTCTCGGTTTTTCCCATTCGCGCGCGGTTAAAAAAGGGGGAAAGGGCGGGGCTTGATTGGATGGGCTCGTTGTCGGAGAAGGGGCTGTGACCCTGTACTGCTTTAATAATAATACTAGCTAGTTAACACTTCTATAGCGCTTGTTTAAACGTGCCAACTCTTTGCTTGTATCAATTCATTTAATCTTTGATAGTAGTAAAGCTGATTCCTTGGTTGACTGCGAAGGGGAGG